CTTTTTTTGTTTGTTTTACTCTGAATCCCCTTATGTTTTTCTTGGTAAGGCCTTAAAAATAAATCTATATGAAAGCATTGGCTTTCCCACTCTAATCATTTCCTCTCCCAGCTAATTAGTCGGAGTAATTTGAGAGCTTTCGATTCTAAGACCCCAGGAGGAAAAGTGTCTTTTCAAAGTTTATAAAGTTGTTGCCTCTTTTCCTTGTGCAGATTTTCTGTCTCCCTGCGCCATAATAGCCCTGAATTTTAGCAAGTGTAATTGGGGGAAATGGAGTTGAATTTCAAGTGGAAATGCTTTCTTTTTCGAGTGCTAAAACCCGGCTCTTGATTCATGAGTGATTTCTAGAAAGTTTAAAAACAAAGTGAACGTGGTTTCTTTCTTTCTTCCTTTTTATTTTCCTTATACTCTCCGAAGCTCCCTAAGCCATTTTGGATGTTTAACTCGAACTTGGGAAGGTTTTAGAAGGGGCTGGGATCAGAAAATGAAATTAAAGGCAAAGAGCTTGAAAGCCTGGCAAGTTTACTGAGGAGAAATAATAGTTGTTGCGGTTGACATTACATTTTTTATAGCCAGTGACCTTTGCAAACGTATGAAGGCAGTTTGATTAGTTGTTATCTTATTTGGCCCTAGAGAGTAAAACTTTGTCATCTTAATTGCTAATTATTCTTCTGGCTGGGGGCGGGAGGACCTAGAGTGAGCTCTCCCCTTTACCCTAGTTAAAGAGTTTGGGGCTGGAATTTGAGAATTAAGTAATTAAAATAACAGCATTTGAAAACTGAGGCTTGTGTTGGGGACAGAGAGGTAGAGGCAGTGGCCCAGCGGTCTGGTTGTCCAAGGCAGGGGCGATTCCAAAATGTCTGGAGACTCCTTCGTTCAGGATGTGGGTCTATGGCCCTAGCGAGGCTGTACAGAGCCTCGGGCTGAGCTGGGAGACTTGGGCTGCAGCTGGGGTGTCTTACCTTTCTGGTGCGCAGGACTGCTTCCGGGTGTCGATGTGCCCCACTTCCAGGGTTGCTTTTGCACTTAGTGTTCAGGTTTACTTAAGTAATTAGATAGCTTCTTAGCCGAGAAGGGAGTAGGAATGGAGCAGAACTGGAATTTGAAATACTGCCACCTTCCCAGCTGCTTCGAAAACTAATCAGCGAGGCCTCTCAGGGCTCAGCTACTGAATTTTTAAAAATGGCATCAAGAATTTACCAGCCAGGATGGGGGCATTCCATTGCGATTGTGTACAGCGTGGGTTACAGAGTGGAATTCAGGAAGCTTTACCCCTCCTAGGGGAATTCCATTCCCCCTCTCCCCACCTACTGCTCCTTTGCAGCTTCAGGGTCCTGCATTTGGTGGGGTGGGGTATCCTGCGTTTGAGCTGGAGGTTTTGCCTGTGCAGGGCATGACTACGGTGCCGGTGCAGGGACTGAGAGAGTGGAGGGAAGCATTGGAGAGCCAATCTAGATAAGGGTAACTAGTAGCCCTCTGCTGTGGCCAATATTTACCCAATGCTGAGAAAAAGTCCTAATTTTTTGGTTTATTTTTATGGACTTAAGCTGGCTACCAAGTAGTTAAAAATTAGACCAGGAATGGCCTTGTAGAGCAAAATGTGCTTCTTGAAATTCTTTGCTTGCAGGCAGGCAAATCAATAATCATCATAGGTAAAACAGAAAAAATAAATGCACTTTAAAAAAAACAGGGAGAAAAGATGCTGTGACAATTTTGTTATTTTACCTCTTTTTTTTGGGGGGGGGCCAGAGCTCTTGAATGGGCTCTTTATTGTAACTCCCTTTTCCCAATTGAGCTCCCCACAGTGCCGTTGTATTTTTTTACAGCCTCTAACAACTCACATCAGTAACACAATTACCTCCAGATATTTATAACAAGAAATTGCTTTTCTATTTTCTCCACTTGTCCGAAAGCCTTCTTTTTGGGGAAAGGTAGGGAGGGGTTTGTGGAGGACCAGCCTCGGGGAACCCCACACTGGGTCAGGGCTTATGAAGCTAGAAGTGTCCCTCTGTTCCCTTTGTGAGTTGGCGGGTTGATGGTACATTTGGTTGGAAGCTGTGTTGCTGGTTAGGGAGACTCGGTTTTGCTCCTTGGGTTCCAGGAAAGGCAGAGAATAGAAGCCATTGTTCGCCGTCTGTAGGCTTTGTTGACCACGCTCACCCCCTCCTGTTCGTACTTTTTAAAGCAGTGAGGCGAGGTAGACAGGGTGTGTCACAGTACTGTAAAAAAGGTGAAGATCTAAATGGCAAAAGAGAAGTTAATCACAATAAGTAAGGTTTGGGAGAAAAAGTTGGGCTTGTCACTTTCAAAGTCCTAGAAAGCTGGGAGATAGATGGAGAGGGGGCCATTGGGAAGCTTTCTTGGTGTGGGGAGAGGAGCGGGAGATAAAGGGGTAATCAGAGTGTTGGGTTCTGGGGTCTTGTGAAATTCCTTAAGGAAGGAGGAAGGCCCTGCAGCCATCCCAAACTGCTCCAGCCTTGCTCTTGGGCACCAGGAAGTTCCAAGGTCCCCTTCCCCTGGTCTCCAAACTTCAAGTATTCCCCTCTCTCCTCATACCCCCTCAACCTCAGCTCTTGGTTTCTACTCCTTACTCCACTCTCCCTCCTGTTTCCCCCCTCCCCTTTTCCTGGTTCTTGATATTTTTGCAAAGTGGGACCCCAACTTGCCAGATTCTTCAATTCTTCCAAGCCAGACCAGAGCAGCCTCTCCTAAAGGATGGAGACTTCTGTGCCAGACGCCAGCTGAAAATGTGGGTGTAATGCTGGGACTCAGAGTTTGATAGCAGTTTGACTGAGCCCTAGATGCGTGTGTTTTTCTTGAGAGTGGGGCTCAGAGAGCCTATGCACCTATGCTGTTGAACCACAGCTTGATATACCTTTCTCTCCTTCTGTTTTGTCTTAGGGGGAAGACTTTAACTAGGGGCGCGCAGATGTGTGAGGCCTTTTATTCTGAGAGTGGACAGACATCCGAGATTTCAGGCAAGTTCTGTGGTGGCTGCTCTGGGCATCAAAACCCACAAAGAGTCTAAACAAACTATTTCAGGAAGTCTCTTCACTATAGTTCAGATAGAAGAAAAAATTCAAAATTGGGGCATCAGTTCTACTGATTAAAGGGTTACTTGCTAAAGAATGTAGGGGAAACAGATTGGGGATATTCAAGTATTTTGTTTGAAGCCCCAAAGGGTAGATTTTGCATGCACTGCAGGGCAGAGCTGGTGACCCTCAGATCGCCCCAAGCAGTTGAGTGGATCAGTTCCTAAAGAACTGAGCTTCTCCAGTCCCGGCCCCACGTCCTTCTCGGTTGGGAGTTCAGGCCTACCTGAAGCAGTTGCCTGGAGATTAACTCCTATTTTCTTGCTAATAGAGCCCCATATTCAAGCCCCGTGGAATCCCGAGGCCCCCAGCCAGCGCCAGGATGCAGAACAGTAAGTGCCTCTGGTCTTTCTGGGACTTCGGGCTCGGGATGCGCGTACATGAGGGTCAGGGGAGGACGCAGAGGCTCGCGGCGCCGGTGCTGGCCGGGCTGTAGACTGACTAAGGCCGGGGGACCTGCTGCGGCTGCTCCCCCCTCTGCGCCCGGCAGCCAGAAAGGGGAGGGCGTTTGCTTTGCTGTTCTCGATACTGGAGGAGTAGGGGCTGGGCCCTTAAGAACAGCCCGCCCGAGTTTTCGAAGCTGCGGTAGAGAAACCCCATCCCCCCCAAATCCTGTAACTCACACCCCCTCCCCGCCCCTGCCCGGGCTCTGACCCCGGAGAGAGGGGCTGGGCTGAGCAGGGCGGGGCAAAGGCTTCTCCTAGTTGGCTAGGAAAAGGAGGCCCCTTTGGGCTTAGCCAAGACTGAAAGTCTCCACCATCCGGATGGGGTGGGGGCTTCCCTCCCCAAGTCACTCTCAGGGCAGCGCCTCCCCTCCCCACCCCATCTACGGGCCTAGAAGGGATGGGGAGAGGAGCCCCCAGGCCTGCAGCAGGGTAGGAGTGGTAAACTCGCTGTTACAGGGTGCGGGAGGGAGCACGGTTTACTGGGTCTGGGAAGGAGGTGGGGGCTGTGCCCAGGAATTGGGAAAGCCCTGCCCTGGCAACTGCAGTTGCGTGGGTCCTGATCGTCCCAGGCTCAGAGCGCCTTTGATACTTTGGCTCGCGTACCTCCCTGCTATCCGCTGCCCAGACCCCGTGGGCCCCACCCACCTTCCTCTTCTGTTGGTGGGTGCTGGTACGTGACAGGGCTAGTCTAGAGCTCGGACCTGGGAGCCTGGAGGCCCAGTGAAACCAGGCCTGGTTTGAGGTTACAGTTAAGGCAACGGCGTCAGGGCTCAACTGAACTCGGAGTGTGGAAAGGCCCAGGTCTAGCAGCCTGCCCTGCAGGAACCACAAAGGCTTAAAGAGGGTCCCCAGCACCTTATCCATCTCTTCTGGAAACGCTGGTCGCCCCCTGGTGCCTCCGGGGCTGGTAGGCGCCCCGTAGCTCAGGAAGGGGCACAAAGGTGGCGAGTTTTGCGGGGGTAGTTGTGCAGAACCTGCCAGATCCCAGGGCTTGGCCGGAAGACTCCCCTTCGGGGGCTGGGCTCTCCTCTCGGAGCTCAGACTCCCCAGCCGCAGGCTCTCTCTTGGGTGGGTCCCAGCCAGGGCACGCAGCGCTGAGCGTTTGCCACTGCGGCCCGGCTGGCAAGCCCTGAGGGGCGCGGGGTCGCGGGCCGGCCTGCAGGGCTTTGTGCCGCTAGTTCCCGGGTGTGCGCGAGGCGCGGAGCATCCAAATTGACACCATATGTTTTCCTATTAGTTGCTTCGCGGTCGAGTTCTAGGCGCATAATCAGCGCCACTGGGCGAGACTGCCAGCCGTCCCTAGGGAAGGGACACAATGATTGAGGCTTAACCTCTGAAGGGGAATTTGGAGCTTTGCTTCCTCACTGCCATTTCGATGCTGGGAGTGGCGCCCTGGCCCTGGCGTCTCCTGGGCGAGCACCCGCAGGCTGTGGCTGCCGAGGTGGCGAGCACGTAGTTTTTGAAATGCATGAGGAGGGAGGTCTACATGTAAGCAGCCTCACGCGCCCGCCTTGGCATTAGCCGACTGGGAATTGCCGTGGCTATGTGTGAAGTTTGGAAAGTCTCTCTAGGTCTCTTTCTGGGACAGCCTTTCTTTTTCCGGGAAGCTCCCTGTGCCCAGAGGTTGGGCTCTGTAGCTGGAGCGGTAGATGGAACTTGGGAGGCAAAGAAAGGCTATAAAGGGAATTTAGGAGAAACCGGAAGCCTGGGCCAGGCCTTGCTCTGTTGGAGAAGCGGTGTCCCCGCAATGTCCCTGCTTGCCGGAGCCCAGAGCCCAGAGCCCAGATCCCCCAAACGCCTGTCACTTCTCATCGAGTTGAGGCCCCGGCCTTCCCCCCCCTCCCGCCTCGGTGAGGGGCCCCCCTCAGCCCCAAGCCTTCGGCTACCCTGAAAACACTGCTCCCCTCGAAGGGTAAACGAGTGCAGTTCAATCTAGTCTGAGTGATCTACAAATAGGGACGGAAAGGGTCGTTTTATCACGGTCCTGTTTGTCGTGACGATGCAATTTCCCGGAGCGGAGCACTGTCACAAAGTGACAAGGCTGCCACAAGCGCCCCGACTGATCTTTTCAATTAGCCTTCCATGCATGATCCGGAGCGACTTCCGCCTATTTCCAGAAATTAAGCTCAAACTTGACGTGCAGCTAGTTTTATTTTAAAGACAAATGTCAGAGAGGCTCATCATATTTTCCCCCCTCTTCTATATTTGGAGCTTATTTATTGCTAAGAAGCTCTGGCTCCTGGAGTCAATTTTATCAGTAGGCTCCAAGGAGAAGAGAGGAGAGGAAGGGAGCGCCGAACAGGGAGCCACGTCTTCTCCTGGGAGGGCTGCTCTCTAGAGTCGGGGCTGCAGGTTGGAGATTTTTAAGTAGAAATTGGCAATTGGCTTTATTTGTGTGTCTGTGGTTTTTGGGGAGGGAGGCAACAAACGGGCTAACTCCCTCTCCCTATTCTCTAAGGTTGGACCAAGGGGATGAGGTTGTGAGATACAAAGATAAAGGAGGGATGGGAAACACAGTGATATGGTCTTTTCTTTTTCTTTTCTGTTTTTGATTTTTGCTAATATCTGTCCTTGGCTGAGGGGAGGGCGGAGTTCAGCGGCGGAAGTAAAGCGAGCAGTGGCGGTTGCGAACCGACTGCCGGCTCTAAGCCTTACTTGCGGTGGCTGGACTTGTCTGTCTGTGGCTGAAGTCGAGCCGGGCTCTGACTCACGTCTGCAGTGGAGGTGCGGAAACTTGGACCGGGGTTCGCCAGCCATAGATGGGCCGCTCTAGTTCTCTCCTCTCCCTTCTTCTGTTCTAACCAAACAAAACCAAACTCGTTGCTTGTGCCAGGCCTTGGCCAGATTGGACGGTGATGCAAACATTTCTGGACTTCAGCGTCCAAGGGAGCACTCAAGGGCTGTAAGATTTGTTATAACGGTTCCAACACTGCAGAGACCTTGGAGGTTCACTGTGGGATCTATAGAACCCATGGTTTGCGGTGACACTCAGAGGGGATCTTTGGGAGATTTGTAGAGCCGGTTCTTTGCGCTTTGTGGGTTTAGGGGCTGGCTGCAGTGTTTATGAAGAGGGGCAGTGGGCTCTCTGGGGTTATGGCGATACTGAGGTTCATGTGTTCTTGATCCTTGGGATGTGTCTGACTCTGTGTTGCTGCTGCAGTCCAGTGGGCAGGGGCACGGCTGTTTGGGGCTGGGCTGCCCGATGTCCCGCATGGCTGGTGGTCCCGTTGTCCTTTTTTGATCGATAGCAGGGACCTGATCGCCAAGGTTGGCACAGGTTGGCAGGGGGATGAGGATGCATTGTGGTTGTCTCCTCCTCCTCCTCCTCTTCTCCTTCTTCCTCTTCCCCTTCTTCTTCTCATTCCTCTTCTCCTTCCTGTTCTTGTTCTGTCATCTTGTTCCTTCTCCCTCTTCTTCCTCTTCATTCTGCTCTCCTCTTTTCTTTTCCCCTTTCCTCTCCCTTCCCTTTCCTCAGGTCACAGCGGAGTGAATCAGCTCGGTGGTGTCTTTGTCAACGGGCGGCCACTGCCGGACTCCACCCGGCAGAAGATTGTAGAGCTAGCTCACAGCGGGGCCCGGCCGTGCGACATTTCCCGAATTCTGCAGGTGATCCTCCCGGCGCCGCCCCACTCGCCGCCCCCGCGGCCCTCCAATCTCAACGCCCTCTCTTCATTTCTTACTGTAAACGATGCTAATTATGGACCCCCCACCCTCACCCACTCCAGTCCCTAGTCCTCCACCCACTCCCCTGCCTTCCCACTTTCCCTTCTCCTTCCACCATCCTTCCCTATCTCTTTCAACTTGGGTCAGCTACATAAGATAACTCATCTGCTTCAGAAAAATATTGTGTGTGGATATTTTTTTAAAACCTTTCTCTTTTTATTTGGTAAAGACATTTATTGTGGGAACAGTTTATGAACTGTAATGAGCTGAGTTATATAAACCTGCATAATTTCATTGTGCTCTCCCCAGCCCCTGCTTACCTCAGATTTTGAGGTATTTGTTTATTCTTCATGTTTATGAAGAATATATACATTGATTTAAAAAGGCAAATGCTATTTACTCATCCCTAACTCATATTTACTCAATTGGGCATTTTTTGAAGAAGAAGGAGTAAAAATTCAGTTTATTTTTTACCTTTGCTCTTTAAAACATAACACCACTTTAAGCAAGGTCAGCACAAAAATCAGTTAATCTGACTTCATTTTGGTGCATCTTCAGGCAGTGTTTAAGAAAACAGTTTTTTTAAAAAAAACTTTTAAATTTGTTTTTGAGTTCAAACTGTTTCAAAGTATCATCATATTTGTAGTTTTTAGGGCTACAAATGTAATTTTAAGAAAAAAGCTCTCTACAGTAAGTTCTCGTACCATTGAAGGTATATTTTTGTGTTATAGACCCATGCAGATGCAAAAGTCCAAGTGCTGGACAATCAAAACGTAAGCTTGTCATTGTTTAATGCATACTTAAACAATTTTATTTTTGTCTTGAAATTATTAATAATGTGGTTTTCTGTCCACTTCCCCTATGCAGGTGTCCAACGGATGTGTGAGTAAAATTCTGGGCAGGTATTACGAGACTGGCTCCATCAGACCCAGGGCAATCGGTGGTAGTAAACCGAGAGTAGCGACTCCAGAAGTTGTAAGCAAAATAGCCCAGTATAAGCGGGAGTGCCCGTCCATCTTTGCTTGGGAAATCCGAGACAGATTATTGTCCGAGGGGGTCTGTACCAACGATAACATACCAAGTGTAAGTTCACTGAGAACATCTGCTCTCCCTGCCCTAAGCCCCACGCTCTCTCCTCTTTACCTCCTCCCACCCTTTCTCTCCACTGTCTCTTAGTCTGTGTCTTCTCCCTGCTCCACGCTTGTCTCCTTTGTACCTGGGGAACAGAGAGGAATGCCCTGACCTTTCTTTGACTGTCTGCAAAATGGGAGTCAAGTGTGGGGAATCGTTCACTTCATTTGCATGCTGCAAAACAGAGGGCGGAGGCACGCGGGAAAGGCACTTGAATCAAGAAGGAAAATGAAAACCAGATTGTAACTTCGTCCCAATCCACCTGCCAGAACTTTCCTTCAGGTGTCACACATCCATTTCCATCCTAATATTAAACAAATATAATGAAAGAAAGCTCTACACCAAGTCTAAATTTTTTTGGGGGGGGAAGTCTTTTAAGAAAGCAAAGCAACCAGGTGAGTTAGGTCACCAGAGACACCGAGCAACTATGAAAAACCCCCTCCCCCCAGTTCTCTACCCAACTCAACTTCCATGCCCAAGGTGATAGCTATCATTTTTTTTTTTCCATGGTGTATCTGCAAATCCACCCACTGTCCCTGGGTAGCTGGGAGCTTTTTAATAGGTTGAGCGTTGCTTTTTAAGGTGGTAGGGGAGCTGAGATGGGTGACTATGTCTTCAGGAGACACTACCATTTGTTTTGATTTTGGTTTGATTTGCAGGTGTCATCAATAAACAGAGTTCTTCGCAACCTGGCTAGCGAAAAGCAACAGATGGGCGCAGACGGCATGTATGATAAACTAAGGATGTTGAATGGGCAGACCGGAAGCTGGGGCACCCGCCCTGGTTGGTATCCGGGGACTTCGGTGCCAGGGCAACCTACGCAAGGTAAAACCTAAGCAGCCATCAACCCAGCTCTCCATATAGGCAGCCTGTTGTCTATCCCCTACTCTCTCAACCTTTTCCACCCCGGAATTCCAGCTTGGGGAATGTCCTGGGGGAGACTGCATTTGAAGGCCTGGGACACATCGACTTGCATTGTATGTAGGTGGTGTTGGTTAAACCATCTTGTTGGCCTGGGAATGTGAGGGTTGTGTATGTCCGGAGTGGTATGAAGGTGGCTGGTGTGTGTGTTTGCGGGCTGAACTGTGTGCATAAGAATGAGCTGCATGGTGCACTATTCAAATTTGGCATTAGAATGCAGGGAGAGCCCCCTTGTAGAAGTGTGACAAGTTAACACACTGACAGACTGCGAGGTAAACATAATTGTATCGTTTTGCTTTTTGCTGTAATTGACAAATTATGTGACTATGAGTAGGGTGCACATGAAAGGGAGAGCAGGGAGATTCAGGGCCGAGTCAGGAATGGGGCGTTGGAAGCGGTGGTCTCCCAGCCACAACCACCTCACCATCCTTGCCCCTCCCCCGTTCGCCCCTCTGGGCCCCACTTTCTCACTCTCTGTGGGTGGCGAATATGTGGAAGTGGTGGGTGAAGATACTGTGAGCAGGACAACGGAGCACCGGGAAGGCTTGAGTCTGGGAGGAGAGATGGGACCTGGAACAGCCCAGGGTCTGTGAGAAGGGCTGGAGGAAGAGGAGCCAGTAGGGAGGAGGGTCAGCTGGCTCCTCCGCCCCCTCCACACCCCTAGGTAGCTTCGTCAAGAATAGGAAACAGTTTACTCCGAAGATTAATCGGTATTTGTTGTCCTCGTGACAAGGAGATAATATGCGGGATAATGGGACGTGGCGTCTCACTCCCGGGAGCACAACCGAGCCTGGGGGCTCCGGACCGGGGGCGGTGCGCAGGACGGCTAGGAGGCTGCCGGCGCGTCCGTGCGCTCTCCGACTAGCTCCGGATGCCCGGCGCCTCCATGGAGTCGGGCGAGGGAAGGGAAAATCGGAAACAGTATGCGAAATATCTGGTACAAAGGATGCTTCTGTCACTCGCAAGAATTTGTTATGGGAACAATCCTGTCGCTCTGTAATTGCTCATTAGAGAACGTTTTGTTTCTCATTAAGGCGACATGAATAAGCGTCTAGTTGAAGGAGACAGCTGTAGAAATGTTCCACAAGAGACCTCTGGACACGATTCGGCACCAATTGCCAATTAGACATGTCAGTTTTAAGAGCAGAAAACAATATAGGACGGACACTGGGAAGATAGGGAGCAAAGCGCTCGCTTCTTGTTTCCCAGCGCGGCTGCTCGGCCAGCGGAGGCCTCCTGACTCGCGGGGCCCCGGTTCCCCTGGGCGACCCCGCCCGCGCGGCCCTGAACCCGCAGGAACTCGCCGCCTCCCAGAGGGAGCGCAGAGGACTCCTAGGCCCGCTCCCGCCTCTGGTGAGACTAGCGATTGACCCCGTCGAGTGTAGGCAACCTCATGCCTGCCTGACCTTTGAAACCGTAGGATTCCTACGTGTAGACTCTGGACACACCCAAGTGATATCCGAACTTCGCACTCACGAGCGTCCACCCCTCAGCCTCCAGCAATCTGAGGTCCTGGTGGTCCCTCCCCCACCAAGAGTCTGGCCCACTTGGTTGTAGAAGTCTTGGGGGGGGATGCAGGGGCACGGTGGCCCAGGCCTGGGAAGGCTGAGCCCAGAGCCTCCATCCCCAGCTCCCTAGGCGCTTGGGCTCCCCTGAGCTTGGGGCGCAGGAGACACCCCCCTCCCGCTTCTTGGAGTTGGGACAGAAGCCGCCGAGGGGAGCAGCTTCCACCAGAGGTGGTTACCGATTCGAGCAGATTTTAGTCCCCGTCAGCCTGAGGGCGGGAAGTGAGAGTCTAACGGGTTAGGGTCCACCGGTGATGGTTGGGCGCCTGGGCGCCAGAGGTGGCGCTAGTTCAGGAGGGGGTTTTCACTTTAACGCGCCTAGTTGCTAGAAAATTCTGGGTTAACTGACAATCACCACCACACCCCCACCCTCAAGTGAGGTTTTTGGGGGTGATTGTCAGCCCAGGCACAGGACCCTCGAAGCACATAGAGCTGCGGGCATGGGGGTAGCAGGCAGTGGTGACGAGCTTCGCTTCACGTTCCGGGGAATCCTCAGGCTTTTTGGCGCTAAGAGGGGCCCCTCCCTCCCTGGCTCCCTTTCCCAGCCCGGGAAGCCTTTCTTGGGGTTTAAAGAGTCCATTACTCCAAAAGCATAAGGCGAGGTTAGGTCTCAGAGGGAGACAAATATGGTTTCCATCTGATCAACGCCATGCGGCGGTGAATAAAATCGCGACGACGTGGGGCTGACAACAACAAGAGACAACTCTATCCAGCCCCAATTCTCCAGCGATTTGGTGGTTTTAGGGATCACGGAGATACTTTTTCTTACCTCCTCCCCTCACCCCACCCCCCACACCCATAATACCCAGGCCCTCTATAGGATTTAGTCAGCCTCTCTTTCAACAGATGCTACAATGTTTTGATCTGCGCTGCAGAGCTGAAAAGGTGCCGCAACCGGGTTGCTATCTTTTCTTGCTTGTTTTCCGCCTCACTGATTAAGACACTAAGAAACTAAGGAATGATTTTATTTCCCAGCGCGACTCAGTGTCTCTCTCTCCCTCTCTCTCCCTCTCCCTCTTCCTCTCTCTCTCTCTCTCTCTCTCTCTCTCTCTCTCTCTCTCTCTCTCAATCCTAGCCCCAGCGTCAGATGGTCCTGGGGCTGGGATAATGGGAGGCGCTTTCACTCGCCTTCTCACGGATTAGGCTGGAAGGTGAACGGCACCCATTGAAGGCCCCTGCTTTGCGCAGCTCCGAGGGGACGCCTTTTAAAGAAGATATCTTAATTGTCCACCACTTGGGTTTATCGTGGGGGTGGGGGAGTTGAGATCCAACTTCTAGTTTTATTTTGTTAAAAGCTTTAAGAGCGGAAGGCAAATCCACAAAAGGGTGGGGGGGAAGGCACCAGTTTTAAGTGAGACCAACCGCTAAGTCACTGCCTGGCTGCAAAGAGTTGCCACTTGTAAAGTGACAAACTTTCCCGATATGCTCTCCTCCTCTCCCCGCGGGGTCTAGAAGGGGTCCTGCAGCCCCGGATTTCTTTTTGCTGGCCTCTAATTCCAATCCCCGCTTCCCACATTTTTTTTTTTTTTTTTTTAGATTTAAAATTGAGCTCTCCTGTCCCTGCTGACTTTTCTCCCTTAAATATCAGTCCTGGAGGCAGCGCAGTGCCTGGCGGCGACTGCGTGCGTGCCTGTGTAGGCCGCGTGTAAGTTTGTGTTAGACAGAACATGGATAATATGAATCTCCATGTTTTAAAATTAAGAAAATGTCAAAGAAGCAAATGAGAGCAGAGGATGCTATCTGCAGGGGTCTTCGGAGGCAGATCCGGGCAACTTTAATTGGCGGATAGAATGTGTCAGAAAAGGGACTGAGGTGGGGCCCCCAGGATGGCAGAGGCATGAGTGACCATAGGGAGATGGGGATTGTGTTCTTCTCAGTGTCCGCCCCCCCATGCCAGATGTGCCTAGATGCACACATTTTTGTCTGTTTTCTAAAAGCAATAACCCTCCGGCCTTTCTAGTTGGCCAAAAGGAGCTATTTCCAGTCTTCCTTCTTCACCAAACCCGAAAATAAAGCGAGAGTGGGGGTGGTCCCTTCATTTTTTCCCTTGAAAAACACTTTGAAAAGTCCCCCCGGAAACTTGGGGCAGTAAATTAGCACAGACGCCTGTACCTGCACACGTGAGTGGAGCCCGTCCCTCTCAGCTGAGCAGCCCTCCCTCTCCGACCCCCACCTTTCTGATGGAGTGCAAAGACCCAGAGCCCAGCTGAGGCTCAGTTACTAATATTTTCTGTCCCTCATCTTCCATTTCCTCTCTTTCCCACTCTTGTACGGCCCTCCTGCCTCTTTTTCCTCTCAGCATTCTTTTCTGTCCTTTTTTCTTATACGTCTGGCCTCTTGTATTTTTTGAGCCCTCTTTTTTCCCTCCCTTGCCCTCCGCCCCTTCCCCCAACCCAGGCCCCCAATCCTTCCCCCTTGCTTCCACCCCCACCACTGGTTTCCATCCTGTCTCCCCTCCATCTCTCCAATGTAGGAAACCGGCCCTGGTCCCCATCCACCCTCCCTGCCTTCCCCCATGCCGGGCCCTGGCCCCCCATCCACCCTCCGTGCCCCCAGCCAAGCGCCCTAAATAGCACGGAGGCGCCCGCTCTTCGGACAGTGATTAATGATAGCAGAGCAGAGGGGTTAACACACTTCACTGAAAAGTCTGTTGACTGGGCTCCTTGTAACACAATGTGGCCCGCTGCACGCCTCAAGAGAATCCTTTTGTTGTCCGCGCTCATTGTAGCCTCAAAATTCTGCCCACGAAAGTTTGCCAACGCTCCTGCCCCAGGAGTTTAATAGTTTCCCTTACTCGCAGGGCATTGTGCAGCGCTGAAAAGCAGCCCCTCGCTATTCAAGTGTTGGTGGTCATCTCAATAGATCTCCAAGGGCCCATATGGTGGCCAGTGCTGATGAATCCGCCTGTTTAAATGGGGGAGAAAGTTGGGGTTTTAAAACATTTCAAAGTTCCTGAAAAGATCCCACTAGATCCTGTCACAATTCCCTGAACTCTTTGAAGGCGCAGCCTTTTGTCTCCTGGTTATAAATAATATTCCTGGCCAAGTCGATTCCCACCAAGGCGCTCCTAGGGGCCCCTCCACCGCGCTGCTCGCCAAGTTTTGAGGATGGGGGGCACTCCATGTTGGTTTCACTTGGGGGCCTCAGGACCCCCGACCCAGGACCCAGCATGTAGTGGCCCTGGAGGCCCAGTCAGGGTTCAGGCAGTCTTGCTTCCCTTCACACGGGCTGTGGCCTTACAGGCAAGGTGCAAGGCGGGAGCCAGCTAGCCCAAGTGCACATCTTGCCCTCCAGGCAGCAAAGGAAAACAATAAAACTTTCCCCGGTATAATGATAGAAATTACATTAAAAGTGGTGGAAATGCCCTAATTAAAAATGTACCACTTAAATGATATGCCAAAGATTCAGCTGCAGCATAGAATATTTAGTTAGTGAACTCTCTACCATTTCTTTTTAAAAATTACACGTTAAAAATTTAAAAGAAATCTTACTTTTCTCTGGTGCAACACATTACAAAGAATGGACAGTCCTTTTATCTAAATATAAAATTCCATTTTCAGCAATTATAGCCTGTTCTTGGTGATGATATAATTACAGCTGTGCTCGTAATAGGTGTCAAGGCGAAGCGCACTCATACAATAGTTGAATAAAACTGCAGAACAATGCGAGCACTTCTAAATTCACAACCTTTAAAATGAAATTGACTGTGCAGAATTCAAATAAAAACTAGATAAATATTTTTTTAAAAAGATTACAAGCTTGGTTTGGTTTCTTAATAGCATTTGCTACAAACCTATCAACATCTAATTGATTAGATGGGAATTACTGATTATAGATCAACTGAAATCTTGAATATCACTCTTCCATTTTCCCAGCACAGCCATAGGTAAAGACATTCTGTAGGGAAAGGAGTGAGGCATTTGGGGACTCAGGGTTACTTACAAAAGATCATTTTAATTGGAAACTTCGGTGCTTATTTTTTCATTCAAGAAATGCTACTTTATGTGAGTATTATAAAGTCTCATCTTGATAAAAACAAAGAAAATGGTGGTCAGGTAATTAACGCCACAAATGTCTTTTATTTAAAGAAGGCTGACAGTTACCCTGGGAATGTTTTGGTGAGGCTGTCGGCATATAATGCTCTTGGAGTTTAAGACTACACCAGGTCCCTTTTGGAGGCTCCAAGTTATTCCAAATTTCTCTTACCGTTCTATTCTTTTTGTTCCAGATGGCTGCCAGCAGCAGGAAGGAGGGGGAGAGAACACCAACTCCATCAGTTCCAACGGAGAAGATTCAGATGAGGCTCAAATGCGACTTCAGCTGAAGCGGAAGCTGCAAAGAAATAGAACATCCTTTACCCAGGAGCAAATTGAGGCCCTGGAGAAAGGTGATGGAGTTTTTCAAAGTAGAGAAGCAGTAAATCAAAGTAAATGCCACATCTTCAGTACAAAGAGCTAAATTTAGCCAGGGCCCTTTGCATAGAGGACTGAAAAGGTTTTTTTTTTCCTGTCTTTTTATTTTCTCTGGGCATCTCTTCTGTGTGTGTGTGTGTGTGTGTGTGTGTGTGTGTGTGTGTGTGTGTGTGTTCTTTTCATGTACCAGTAATTCAAAGACTAAGCATCTGGCTTATAAGAGAAACATGATGATTTGGCTATTTCAGGCCACAGAAAGGTCATTGAATGTCATTCCAAAGAAAATTTCACTTGGTACAGTCAACACTAGAAGCGTTTTAAAGGGAATTGGTTGGAGGTGATGGGAGTGGGGAGGTGGGAAACAGCTTGATCCAGTTTGGTCAACATATTTTGTGTAGTTCTGGCACAATGTGGAAAATCAACTTATTTTTTCAGAGTTTGAGAGAACCCATTATCCAGATGTGTTTGCCCGAGAAAGACTAGCAGCCAAAATAGATCTACCTGAAGCAAGAATACAGGTACCAAGGGACAGTGCAGTTTCACACTTTGTGATTCATACCATTTGCCTTTCCTAGCGACAGAGGTGCTTGTACAGAGCACTGTTTATTTATAGGAATAAAAACAGGTTCAGTCTGCTAGATACTCTGCTGCCATGGGTATGGGGAGGGCAGCAGCGGAGGTGTCGAGGTGGGGCTGGGCTCGACATAGGCACAGTGCTAACCTGTCCTATCTGATTTCCAGGTATGGTTTTCTAATCGAAGGGCCAAATGGAGAAGAGAAGAAAAACTGAGGAATCAGAGAAGACAGGCCAGCAACACACCTAGTCATATCCCTATCAGCAGTAGTTTCAGCACCAGTGTCTACCAACCAATCCCACAACCCACCACACCCGGTAATTCTAAATACTAATATACTACAAATCAATGTGTTAAACCTGTTTGCTCTGGGCTCTGACTCTCACACTGACTACTGTTGTTTCTCTTGCCCTCAGTTTCCTCCTTCACATCTGGCTCCATGTTGGGCCGAACAGACACAGCCCTCACAAATACCTACACCGCTCTGCCGCCCATGCCCAGCTTCACCATGGCAAATAACCTGCCTATGCAAGTAAGTGTGGCCGGAGGTGGTCTGCGTAACCCCGGCCCCAGAGAAGTGAGGAGTGGGTCAGGGCCTTCGGACCTCATTGGCTATGTGTGTGGCCTTGGGAGCTTTTCACACTACAGTAATTGGCTTGACCAGTTGTCAGAGACAGTCAATCCAATCTCTTTTAAGTGATTGACTCATTGATTCATGCCTTAAAAAATAATAATCAAAATCTGTCCAGTTTTGTCAAGTTAACCTGCCTCTTATACTGTTTAGCTTGATAATGTTGGTAGTGGGGCATGTTTGGGGTACCAGTAAGACAGCCAATACAATCTCTTTTAAGTGGTTGACTCATTAATTCATGCCCTAACAAAAGTAATGATAAAAATTGGTCGTTTTGTCAAGTTGATCTGCCTTTTATCATAATGTTACCTGGATAATGTTGGGTGGCGGGGCCGGGGGGGATGTTTTGGGTACCAGGGAGCCTGGTGCCAGAAAGTGGAAATAATGATGGCACATTATCAGATAGCAAGAGATTAGTATTTTCAAATTTGGGTTTATACTATGTTTGCATGCTAAATATATAATCTGTGTATGCATTTGGGGCATTACTTAGGGTATGTGTGATAAACTGATGAGAAAGAAAAAAGGATCGGAAATGGGATTCCTATTTACATGGTGAGATATAGTTAATATAATGAGGAAGCTAGTTTTTCTGTCTACATCTACAATAAGGAAAGGCGTAGCAGGTATTTGCTGGAAATTTGGTGTGTCTTTGCTGTGAATGGTGTGACAAGTTTGTGGCTCTCTTAGCTGCCGGCGAAGCTTGATGCTGTTCACCTGGTATGACAGCCTGCCTGTCCTCTTAGTTCTGTCCCAAATATCTATTAGCCCCTACATTTTGAGGCCTTGCACTAGGTTCACCCTTTATGATGAAAGTTGGATAAGGCAGGTGGTTTGTACTAGACCTTTGTTGATGATGGGTTCTTGATAGGAAAAACGTCTGTCTTCTGGTGGGCCTCTCCCAATGGTTTCCTAGAACTCCTGTTTGTCCAACAATTAGAGATGTTAAAGATGGTACGATAATGACCAGCGTGAGCCCCTGCTGGAAACAGCTCTGGGGCTACACAGATTGTTTATTCTCCACTGAGCATTTTTTGCTGGATTTCAAATCCAAATAACAGCAGAATAAATATTTCAGTCTTCAGACTAATATAGGAGCAGCTAGATAAGCAACTTCAGAGGAATTATTCACATATTTATTTTTATTGCATCTGGATATTATTGGCCATAGTGCAATTGATGTAAATTAAGGGATTAACAGCCCATTAGTTGGTATTGCTGTAACTGCCTTGGAATTTTCCAGAAGTCAGGTTGCCTAGAGGAAGTTATTGCAGGAATTAGAAACAAATGCAAACTGAAATTCTGGCAGGGCCCTCAAGGCCTGTTTGCCTCTTTGAACTTGATGTTAGCAGTCATCATCAGACTTTAATGAGGCCACAGAGTGTCTTGTTCAGTTTCATATATTGTAACAACATCCAGGTTTCTGTGAAGATAGCAATATGTGTATGTGAGAAAATAATAAGACCAACAGGTAGATGCTGCCATTATATCAAGATTGTTTCCACACATAGACCAGTGTGGGAATTCCATCTATCTCAAACACTGACTTTTAAAAATTATGTAATTTATATAATTCAAAAAGTACATGCATTCATTCAGCATAGAGAAAATCAAAACGATCAGTAACTTTACTCTTCAGAGAAAACTACTCTTTGAATTTTGGAGTGGGTGAGCCAGTTTGTCTATCCATTTATTCATTCTCTTGACCAAAATAGTCATTTTACAAATCATGGGTGTCTTCCTCTGGACCTTCTCTGATTTGTTTCCTTCTCTGAGAATGGTGGATCTTCGAATGTGAAACCTCTCTCCAGTTTGCAGAGAAGAGAAATAATAGTATACTGTACTATCATTTAACACGCTTGTTCCTGACACACTTCTATTAACTGATCCCAAGTTTGCTGCCATCGCATAGTACCGTGAGAGCTCATAAGGGGCTTTGTTAGGAGAAAGGTTTTATCTTCTCAGTGCTGCCATTCTGAATAGTTCCAGGGTAGCAATGATTTTCTGGTTACAACTCAATCTGGGCTTTTGGGTCTGTTAGGAAGTCATGGTAATTCTCAGGATGTGGGTGGGTTACATTTACTAACTCAATCTGGGCTTTTGGGTCTATTAGGAAGTTATGATTAATTCTCAATATGGGGGTGGTTTATGTTTACTAACACTTCTGATCATTTTAACTTGGGGTCATTACAGATCTGCTTCTTCAAAGAAGCTTTTATCCCAGGAATCTGGCTGTGAAAGGTTCCCAAGGTTGCTAAGCCATACTTTACTGAGAGCTCCTCCTCCCACTGCCCTCTGTCCCAAAGCTAGAGATATGGGCTTTAGGGGTCACAGGATTCCCAAATAAATCCAGATTTGCAGGGAGAGGGGATGTGTTTTGATGAAGGTCCTCATGCTATAGGTTCTCCAAAGATGCCAGCAGAGGTTAGAGACAAGAATCCTATTAATTTCTGGATAGAGGCAACCATCTAGCTGGACAGTTGTCAGAAAATACAGTGCTTTAGAAGCTTGATATATAGGCAACTTTCTTCTTGCTGGAGGCCTAATCTTAGATTGATCATATGGAATTCCAGTACTTCATGTGAAGGCATCTTTAATGATCGGATTTGTTGGCAGAGTTCTTGGGGAGGAGGGCGCCTGGGGCTGTGGCTGTATCATGTGTTTCTCAGTAACCACAGGTTTGCCTCTCTCCTCACAGCCCCCTGTCCCCAGCCAGACCTCCTCATACTCCTGCATGCTGCCCACCAGCCCTTCGGTGAATGGGCGGAGTTATGATACCTACACCCCCCCACATATGCAGACACACATGAACAGTCAGCCAATGGGCACCTCGGGCACCACTTCAACAGGTGAGCCACTGCTTTCTGCAGGCTGCACAGAGGTGGCCTGTACAGTTTCTTTTGCCAGGTGATCTCTATTCACTGGAAGTTTACCCAAACAGAATCTCCTGGCCTCGTGGGAGGGCGTGTTTAACTCTTTGCTGTCCTTGTCCCTGGGGGATGGGGATTGAAAAGGGAAATTCAGTTAAGCTAATTAGTAACTTTATACCATATAGACAAAAACCAAAATTGTTTTTCCTGAATTTGGTCACAAAAGTTGTATACGAAGACAAAGCCTGAGACTGCAAGTTTTCTGAGGACAGATTATTAGATAAAGCTCAGCAGGTGGCCCACTGAGCTGTAGGTGGGTGCTTGTTGAAATGCTTCTTGCCCTTGTAGTTCGTAGCTCGTGGCTCCTCTAGACCTTTCGCTGCAAATAAAAATCTGACGCATTGGTTTTCCAGAGACAGTTTTATTGTAAAAAGTCCAAACATTCAAACAAATGGAGGGATTTTTTTTTTTCTTTTCTTTTGGATGGTGGTGGAGGGGACCTGGGATCCAATAGGTGTATATTAACATGTTGTCTCGTTTCTGAAGGTGCTACTTATATTTGTAACAGTGAAGTATTTTTTAATACAATAAAATGTGTTAGAAAGTATAAAGGTTTTCTGTTTTTGTTTTTTGTAAACCTACACATTTGTATTCCATGTCTGTTTCTCAAAGGTTATATCTACATGGCTGTTTCTTTCATCCCCTTTCAGGACTCATTTCCCCCGGTGTGTCAGTTCCAGTGCAAGTTCCCGGAAGTGAACCTGATATGTCCCAATACTGGCCAAGATTACAGTAAAAAAAAATAAAAAAAGAAAGGAAATATTGTGTGAATTCAGTCAGTGACTATGTGGACACAACAGTTGAGCATTCAGGAAAGAAAGAAAAATGGCTGTTAGAGGCGCTTCAGTTCTACAACCGTGTCCTTTATTGTACCACTGGGGAATGGACTTGAAACACGGACCTTTGTATACAGAAGGCACGCTATCAGTTGGAACAAATCTTCATTTTGGTATCCAAACTTTTATTCATTTTGGTGTATTATTTGTAAATGGGCATTTGTATGTTATAATGAAAAAAAGAACAACGTAGACTGGATGGATGTTTGATCTGTGTTGGTCATGAAATTGTTTTTTTTTAAAAAAAGAAAACCATGATCAACAAGCTTTGCCACGGTTTTAAGAGTTTTATCAAGATATATCGAATACTGCTACCCATCTGTTCATAGTTTATGGACTGATGTTCCAAGTTTGTATCATTCCTTTGCATATAATGAAACCTGGAACAACATGCACTAGATTTATGTAAGAAATATTTGTTGGTTTTCCAAAGGTTGTTAACAGATGAAGTTTATGTGCAAAAAAGGGTAAGATATAAATTCAAGGAAGAAAAAAGTTGATAGCTAAAAGGTAGAGTGTGTCTTCGATATAATCCAATTTGTTTTATGTCAAAATGTTAAGTATTTGTCTTCCCTAGAAATCCTCAGAATGATTTCTATAATAAAGTTAATTTCATTTATATTTGACAAGAATACTCTATAGATGTTTTATACACATTTTCATGCAATCATACGTTTCTTTTTTGGCCAGCAAAAGTTAATTGTTCTTAGATATAGTTGTATTACTGTTCACGGTCCAATCATTTTGTGCATCTAGAATTCATTCCTAATCAATTAAAAGTGCTTGCAAGAGTTTTAAACTTAAGTGTTTTGAAGTTGTTCACAACTACATATCAAAATTAACCATTGTTGATTGTACAAAAACCATGCCAAAGCCTTTGTATTTCCTTTATTATACAATTTTCTTTTTAACCTTATAGTGTGGTGTTACAAATTTTATTTCCATGTTAGATCAACACTCTAAACCAATGGTTACTTTCATACACACTCTATTTTACATCCTGATGATCTTTAAAACAACAATTCTTGTAGATATCATAAATCAAAAATGTGTTAGAAAAAAATTCCACTTAATGCTGGGTGTAGCTTTGTGCCCACTTATACCCACAACATATATACAACATTTCCTAGTTAGTCATTTAATTCAAAAGCTCAAAGTCTAGAAATAATTTTAAAATGCTACAAGCTATTAGGAGTTGTTTTTTGAATTAGGACTGGCATTTTCAATCTGGGCAGATTTCCATTGTCAGCCCATTTCAACAATGATTTCACTGAAGTATATTCAAAAGTAGATTTCTTAAAGGAGACTCTCTGAAAGCTGTTGCCTTTCTCAAATAGGCCCTGTCCCTTTTCTGTCTCCCTCCCCTTTGCACAAGAGGCATCATTTCCCATTGAACCACTACAGCTGTTCCCATTTGAATCTTGCTTTCTGTGCGGTTGTGGATGGTTGGAGGGTGGAGGGGGATGTTGCATGTCAAGGAATAATGAGCACAGACACATCAACAGACAACAACAAAGCAGACTGTGACTGGCCGGTGGGAATTAAAGGGCTTCAGTCATTGGCAGCTTAAGCCAAACATTCCCAAATCTATGAAGCAGGGCCCATTGTTGGTCAGTTGTTATTCGCAATGAAGCACAGATCTGATCATGTTTAAAGTGGAGGCACGCAGGGCAGGAGTGCTTGAGCCCAAGCAAAGGATGGAAAAAAAATAAGCCTTTGTTGGGTAAAAAAGGCCTGTCTGAGACTTTTATTTGTTCTGTGCAACATATAAGTCAATATAGATAAGTTTTCCTCTGCAAACTTCAGTAAAAAGCCTGGGGCTTCTGGCAGTCTGGATTAAAATGCTTGCACATGCAGAAACCTCTGGGGACAAAGACACACTTCCACTGAATTGTACTATGCTTTAAAAAAAAATCGCCAAAAGCAAATGATCAGAAATATAGAAATTAATGGAAGGATTAAAAAATATAACCTTCTAGTTCAATATCTACTGTTTTTCAGTTAAGGAATTACTTGTGAATAGGTAATTGAGATTCATTGCTCTGGCATGAAATACACTAATAATTTTATTCAACCAGAGTTGCTGCACATTTAGAGTCACCTTTGTAAGTTGATTGTTTTTTGTATGTGTGCATGTAGTTTTATTCAGTGCAGGCGCTGTGCAGCCTGCACTGCACAGTGGCACACTTCTTTCAGGGGAGTGCGCACGCATATGCACTGTTGGTACAATTGCCCGTGCAGACATTTCTACCTCCTGACATTTTGCAGTCTCCATTCCCCGAGGGCCGGCCGTGTGCTGAGGGAACTGTCAGAGAACGGCTATGTGGGAGTGCGTGCCACAGCTGCTGGCTGGCTTACTTCTTCCTTCTCACTGGCTATGATTTCTACCAGGGTCAGGCAGCCAGTTCTGGCCCACGGTTCTGTTGTGTAGAGAGCAGAGACTTTGGAGACCTGGGTGTGGCACACCAGGCATTAAGAGGTGGGAATGGGAGAAAAGGAGTGACGTGGGAGCAGAGCGTCTGTATGTATGCACCTGGGCATGTATATGTGTGCTCTGAGGGTCAGGGCAAAGTGGCACATCCTGGTTTAGTCTGAAGAAGCAGTTGCTCAGCTGCAGAAGCCCCCTGGTCCAGCAGGATGGGAACGGCTGCCTTGCCTTCTGCCCACACCCTAGGGACATGAGCTGTCCTTTCGAACAGAGCTCCAGGCACTCTCTTGGGGACAGCATGGCAGGCACTGTGTGGTAGCAGTGACTGGGAGTTGGCCTTTTACTCATTGTTGAAATAATTTATTTTTGTTTATTTAATGATAGATATATTTATATATTTATCAATGGGGTATCTGCAGGGATGTTTTGACACCATCTTCCAGGATGGAGACTATTTGTGAAGACCACAGTAGAATCACAGGACTAAAAGCCTAAAATTTTTCTTCAAACTTTGACTTGGGAAAACCAGGTGAACAGAATAAGAGCTGAATGTTTTAAGTAATAAACGTTCAAATTGTTCTAAGTAAAAAAATGCATTTTACTGCAATGAATTTCCAGAATATTTTTCCCCCAAAGCTATGCCTCCTAACCCTTAAATGGTAAACAATTGGTTTCTTGATACAGCTCACATCATTTCTTCCTACTTTTTATTATCACTAGTTTTCCTAAGATTCACTCAGTGTTATTTTCAGATTTAGCTTTGTTCTGTCAATGTCATCTTAGGATTGTGTTTATATTCCTTTTACTTATTTCTTTTTGCTCTGGGCCCTCATGTTAATAAGATTAAAAAAAAGGCATTTCTTCTCTGTATGTTTGGCTTACCAAGGCCAAATATATATTCTTCTCTTTTCCATTTTTCAAGAATAAACGTCATCTGCTTTTTTTGTTTTTCTGTTCTGACTTGGTACTGAATAACTCAACTGCTCAGTTTTAAAGTTCAAAGTGTAAGTATTTAGTACTGCTTATTTCAATAATGTCGATGGTGACTATCTTTGGAAAGCAGTAACATGCTGTCTTAGAAATGACATTAATAATGGGCTTAAACAAATGAAGAGGGTTCCCCTCCACTCTCCTTTTTTATGTGTATGTGTGTCTGATCTGTTAAAATTAAAAGATGGACAGGGAATTGATTGCAGAGTGTCGCTTCCTTCTGAAGTAGTTTTATTTTGTCTACTGTTATTTAAGGATCCTGGAGGTGGACATAAGGAATAAATGAAAGAGAAAAGTAGATATTGTCTAGTGGCTACTAAAAGGAAATTCAAAAGGTTTTAGAACGCTAGCACCTGAGCAAATTGCAGTCATCAAAATATTTACCTCATGTTAAAGAAAGGCAAATCTAGTGTAAGAAATGAATACCATATAGGGTTTTGAAGTTCATATACTAGAAACACTTAAAAGATATAATTTCAGATACTATATTTGGCATTGTTCTTAAGCTTTTATATCTTTAAGTTGATAATTTAAACAAATCTATTTTAATAGAGGGTATATTTCATAATGTATCAAAATGGTGTCTATACCTACAGTAGCATTACCGAAGAACGATATGTTTATGTAGTAAGTTATTAACATAATGAGTAACAAATAATGTTTCCAGAAGAAAGGAAAACACATTTTCAGAGTGGGTTTCTATCAGAGGAAGACAAAAATATATAGCCCTCTCTAGTAGCTTATTTTTACAAAGCCTGCCCAGTGAATTAGAAAAACAAAGCACTTGGATATGATTTTTGGAAAGCCCAGGTAGTCTTATTATTCAAAATGCACTTTTACTGAGTTTAAGAAGTTTCTTTTATATTTAAAATGAGGGTTCAAATATGCACATTCAATTTTTATAGTATTTATCTATTTGCAAAGCATAGATTAACTAGTAATTAGCTGTTAATTTTATAGACATGGTAGCTAGAGAAGTAAATCAATGACCTATTAAGTATTTTGACAAGCAATTTACATATCTGATGACCTCACATCTCCTTTTCAGAGTCAAATGCTATGAAATTGTTCCATTGTGTGTTTGTATAAAATGAATCAACACGGTAAGAAAAAGGTTAGAGTTATTAAAATAATAACCTGACTAAAATACTCATTTGAATTTATTCAGAATGTTCATAATGCTTTCAAAGGACATAGCAGAGCTTTTGTGGAGTATCCGCACAACATTATTTATTATCTATGGACTAAATCAATTTTTTGAAGTTGCTTTAAAATTTAAAAGCAACTTTGCTTAATATAAAAGCCCTTTAATTTTAACTGACAGATCAATTCTGAAACTTTATTTTGAAAAGAAAATGGGGAAGAATTTGTCTTTAGAATTAAAAGAAATGAAAAAAATAAACCAGACGTTCTAAAAAAATACAATAAGAAACCTGATTTTTAGTACTAATGAAATAGCGGGTGACAAAATAGTTGTCTTTTTGATTTTGATCACAAAAAATAAACTGGTAGTGACAGGATATGATGGAGAGATTTGACATCCTGGCAAATCACTGTCATTGATTCAATTATTCTAATTCTGAATAAAAGCTGTATACAGTATGTGTTTATGCTACAGTGGGTTTTTTTAAGTGACTGACATTCATCATATTGGTTAGACAGTTTTAAAAACCTAGTCTTTGTTTTCTACAATGTTGTCAAGAACAAATAAAGTGTAATTTGTGGTATATTAAAAGCAAGCTGCTTAAAAATGCTAGTTATAACTGCTTCAAATTATTCTAATATATTTGAAAATGTATTTCGGGAATTCAGTTTCTCCCAATGGATGTTGAACACCTTTTTAAAAATGAAGACTCTTAAATATGCAAGTTACTTTTTAACTTTCGTTTTTATTATCTGTCAAAAGCTTTGAGAATATGGAATTATAATTAAAACACCTAGTGTTTTATATGAAAACTGGTTCAGTAGGCTATCCACCCCCTTGCAAAGATATGTTTATATGGTTAGAAATTTACATATCCAACCAATGTTCATGATTAGCAAAAGGTTTATGTGATGCAATGGAAATCTGAGTTAGTTTCATTTTTCCACTTTGTCTCAGACCTATGTCCTGTAAAATCTCTCATGGAGCTTCAGTATATGTTTTTTCCCCTGGTATTTTCCCCTAGCATAAATGTAGCTGTCAGTTTGAATTTCAATCCTGAATGATGCCTGCTGACATAATTTCATAGTGCTGACTTCAGTTGTTCAGGATTACTAAACTAAAGACCAACCACTCCTTTTTTCTATGTTTGAGTTCTATATAAAGAACTCAAGTTCTTTATATTTATTAACTACTATGGCAGACTAATTATCTTTCACGGAGTCTAAATCCCAAAATATTATTTTGTCTTTATCAATTTAATAACCAGATACATAAATGAAAATTTATTTTATATATTAGCAAACACATTTTCATTAAAAAGAAACTTAGCATTTTTGGTGGCAAGTGACTGTTTTCTGAAATAAAGAGAAAATATGTTTTCATATACAATCTTGAATTTCATATGTTTTGTATGCTACCTGCTGTGACATGCACTTTACCATGACACTAAATGCCTTAGTACACGCACACAAATGACCACAGTCAGGCATCTTGAGATTTTGACATTTTTTGGCGTTTATTTAAAAGTAAAATTATTTTCTCTATAGTATGAAGGGAAAATTTTAAAAGTATTTGTGCTGTGCTATTTCTGTAAAAAGTTAAAAAATGAGAAATGGCAGCCCCATTTTACAATCCTGTATTTTTCAAGGAGTAGAGGGTCAAATTGTTAAGAAAAATATTTACATAAGCTATTAGCAATCATAATTAGAGTGTCATAGAATTCTGCATGCAATGGCTAAGGAGGAATCCCTAGAAGTCCAGGTGCTTCTTGCCTCCGGCCATCATGCCACAGCCTGGGCCCAGCCGCTTGGCAGATTCTGCCAGATCCTGTTTGCTTGAGCGGCTCACTGTGTCTGACAAGTCTGGAGGCAAATGCAGTCGCTATGGCAGAAGATTTCAGGAGAAGAAAAAAAGAAAAAAAATTAATTTTCCTTTGGCTAGCATACTTCAGAATACAATATTATGCTCTGTTGATCAGCATTTAGTCTTGCATATAAAATTCCTTCTAAAACAATTCTTCAGACTGAATTCCAATATAATCACCTCCTGTTCCTACTGGATTTTACAAATTACAGCCATCGCAGAAACTGAACCAGGAATCTTAGTGGAACATTTTCAGTGTCCAAACCAAAATGTATTAAGATCTTTTTTCATTTAGGCAGAAGTGAACACATGTAAACACATAAATAAAAGCATCATTGAAAAATATCACATAAATTATGGTGGATATCTTTTTTCTTTTTGGCTTTGTTTTGTTTTGCCAGGGCTCCAACATGCAATTTTTTAAATTAAATGCAGCTTTTCAGCAATTATAGATTCCCATGAATACTTGCTTGTCTTTGTCTGTTAGTTGACCTGATTGTTCTTTTTCAAGGTTATACTTTCTCTAGGAACTTAAACTGTTCACAGAAATATTGACAACATAAAAAAATTATACCAACCAGAGGGTGAATTTTTTCATATGTACAGGTAAGTCAGCCATAGCATCTATTGCAGGTCTTGGTAAGTTTGTTTCTATGCATAATGTTGGGTCATGTTTTCAAAAGTATAGTGTTGCTTTGAACACCCTCCCAACCCCCGCCCATCCCAACTGTTTTTCTGCAGATACAGGCTGATTTAAGCTGACCCAGTAGCTGACCACAATTATAGAAGTTACTGTAATTAGGGAGAAACATTCATATTTCAAAAAAACATTTTTCTGTTTTCAAAGGAATCTCTATCACATTCCTTTAACTCTCAGTGCTCCCAGCTCACAAAATTTATTTCATAAAAATTCAAACTTGAAGGAACATATCTGTTGTCTGAGACACAAAGTGGTGTGGAAGGCTGAAGACAAGGCAGCATATAGGGCTCCCCACTGCTGACTGTGCAGAGCCTTCTAGAGGAGAACTGACCTGGAGGCGACCTAGCTGAATCTCTTCATTTGGAAAACTCCCTCCAATATGGGGAGGGAAAACAGATGAAAAAGGGTAGAACCGTATTTTTTTTGGTCAAAATATTGTGGTCCACAAGCACATGTTCCAATTAGTTTCTTTCTTGAATAAAACGCTTTTTATTGTCATGTAAACACAAGCTGTTGTGCACATGACCAAAATATTTAAAACTAAAAAGAATTTATGAAAAAATATTCTTCCTTGATCTCAACCTGCCTGTACTTATTTTTTAACACACATATATCTAGGATGAAAGATACTATTATACAAATACATGATCAATGAAGATGTCAGAAAGGTCGAGAAGGTCAAGGAAAGCTGTAGCAGTCATACAATAATCTCCATACAGAACTATTCCTAGTATCCACGGAACCCAGCTTGCCACTTATTAATTAAACATCTATTTCTTGAATGATAAAAAAGCACAAATACAGACATACTTGTTTCTTTGTTTCAAGCAATTCTTTCATTTCTTTATGTTCTAGTTTGTTCCAGGAAAGATTTCAGGCAGAAACAAAAGCATGAAAGGCTCAGGAATCAGCCAGGCACAGTGGCTCATGCCTGTAATCCCAGCACTTTGGGAGGCTGAGGAAGGTGGATACAAGGTCAGGAGATTGAGACCATCCTGGCCAACATGGTGAAATCCCATCTCCACTAAAAACACAAAAATTAGCTGGGTGTGGTGGCAGGGGCCTGTAATCTCAGCTACTTGGGAGGCTGAGGCAGAATTGCTTGAACCAGGGAGTTGGAGGTTGCAGTGAACTGAGATTGTGCCACAGCATTCCAGCCTGGCGACAGAGTGAGACTCCATCTCAAAAAAAAAAAAATAAATAAATAAAAAAAAGAGAAAGGCTCAGGAATCTGAAAGGCAGGCGTAGTTCTAAAATTTGGGGTTACAAATGTCTACGTAGGGTTAATTCTATCAGTGTCCATGTAAGGAAGCAGGAGGGAAAGAGATCTTTAATTATATGTCAGAGTTTTAATGTTTAAGATCTTGTAGTTATTGCTAATGAGCGAAGGATAGCTGACCAGGATACATGCATGATCTGAAGGTTATCTGAAAAGGAAAATTACCAAAAGAAACATGTGCGTATATAGTTTTGGTTGGGACCTGACAAATGAGGTTAGATAGTGATTAGGCTGTTTGGTAAATCAATTGGAGTCAACAAATATTGAGAATCCACTTGAAGCAAGGCATTCTGAAAGGATACGTCAATAGAGTACCTTCCACGCCAAGTTCCTTACAATCCAGTAACATGAATAAGTCAAGTACACAGGTAACCCTCACAGTGAACACTCCAAGTTATATATACAAGAAAGGCAGAGATAAAGCAGAAATCATAGCTGGAGAAGGAGAACAGGAAAGAGCTTTATGGGGTTGGGATCTGAGCTAGGTCTGAAGTAATGAACTGGATTCTGACATGACGAATGGAGATTTGCTTAACAGGAGAACCAGTATATCTTTATGATTACATGATGCATTTAGTTAAAGGGTCATACTGCTGTGATAATCTAAATGAGGAAACTTGTGTGGTTTATTTAAAACAAGCATAATACAATTTATTTCAGCAGCCTACCTATTTGCCTGTGAACTGGCTAAGCATTTCTCTGCCTCTGCTTTTCTAGGCAATGAATGTGAGCCAGTTGGCTGAAAGCCCTTCAGAGCAAAAGTAGCTAAATGTGACATGTGACATGCTTGGAAACCTTTCAGGTTGAATGGCTTTGAAGTAAAGTCAAATATCATTCGTGTGAGACTTCTGAGCATAAAAATTTAGGGGTAATAGAATTAACTGCTTTTAACCAAATGCTACATTGTTAAGCTAGTTGTATACTCATGCCCTTTGAAAAAGCCCAAGGATGGCTCTTGGAAATATGTGAATCTCTCTGTGATTTTGTCTGCTTTTGTTGATTATTACTTGAACGAGCTTACTATGCAATCTAAATTCTCAAGCAGTGGGTTTTGTTTTCTTTCTTTCTGAGCCTCCCCCTGTGCACCATGTCAGTGCAATGTGAAACAGCGAGGAAGAACGAGAGATCAGGTTCCAGGCTTGCCAGGTGTGTCAGGGATTTTTCCTTTGAGGCTTCCAAAGCATTTACACACTTGACATGTAAATGCTCAGATGCTGCTGTACCCCAGATCTGTCTTCCGAAAAAATATGCTGCACGATACTCTGCATAGCATGGTGACCTCCTTTAGACTTAAAACTGCAGGGCTGTAGGGTATATAAACTTTTAGACATTGAGGTTTCACTGAATAATGGTTTAAATAAAAATCAGACTACAAAAAAAAATCATATTATTCTCAACCTGGTACACCAAATCAAGGTACTCCTATTTCTCATTTTATATCTGGGGTTCTGAAGCAAGGGCCAAAACCAAAACCATATCTTGTATCTTGAGCTGAAATTTTTCCACTTGATTTTCTTTTCTCAGATTCTTGGAGGAAGAGACGGTGTGATGCAGGAGATGGATAGCTGGCTGGCTGGCTGCCTGCCTATTTCTTCCATTAATGCCTTGAATAAAACAATGATTTCTGTGTAGGCAAAGAGATCTGGGAAAGGTGTGACAACTTCCATGGTTCCTGCACAGGCTGGGGTGATTTGCTGTAATCCACTAGACCAATGCTGCAAGGAGGGAAACAGTGAGGCTAGCAAAACACTCTGGCAGATTATGAAAACTCCTGCCAAAAGGCACCCCTAGGCCCATGGGAAGCCCAGGGTCATAATAAGACAGCAGCAGCAGAAGTGATTTGCTCTGAGACTCCAAGGGGTACCGAGGAGAGCTGGACTTTGAGATTCTTTCCCCTCAACTTGACTCTTCGTCTCTTTGGTGGGCTTAGCCAATGTCTATATTTTGTTCCTTCTGACTCTGTGGCTAAACTGATCCTATAGACACACAGGATTGGAATTCCTGGCTCAACAGTTTCCTTCCTAATTCCTTTTCTTCCAGCCTGCCAGGCCTGGGCTCAGCACTCACAGTTTCCAGACAGAAGGGGCAAGATAATGAATCTAGATTACACCTGGATTTGAGACAAATTGCAGGTAAATACTCATTAAAATAAGTTTAATCAATTTATATTTTTCACATTTTGCCAAGACCAAACCATCAGGCACTGTTTGTTTTCTGAAAACAATTGATGTAGAACACTTTAACCCTTAGCAGATGACTAGAGATTTATATTAAACATTTTTAAAGTTTCTGACATTTCCTGAAAAGTTACAATTTGTATTGCTCAGGATCACAGGAATAAGCATTACTATTTCAGAATACTCCTAATAGATTTTTTCATTTTTCTTTAAAACACTGCCAATTTAAATGAAAACCTGACAGGCACAGTAGTTCACACCTGTAATCCCAGCACTCTGGGAGGGTGAGGTGGGAGGATCTCTTGAGCCTGGGAGTTCAAGACCAGCCTGGACAATAAAATACAGTGATATCTCAGCTCTACAAAAAACCTTAATACCTTAGTAACTGCCTCAACAACAACAACAACAAACAAAAAAAGAAAGGAAAAAAACCTTATAAAATAAATACCTTAGAACACATAGGTTCTAACTGGTCCTTAACAGAAGTGGCCAGGACTTGTGGGCACTGGACACAGAGGCAGAGAGTGACAGTTTGATACCTGCCTCTGTCACTCATTCTCCATGTGACCTCAGGAAAGTCAATTCAGCTGGCTAAGCCTCAGTGTCCTCATCTATCACGGGAGAATGATTCTTCCCTCGTAAGACTCTTGTCAGAATAAAATGAGATGTATGCGTGTTTTGTGAACTATCAAGTTTGATGCTAATTTATTTATATCTCTTCTTGCTCCACAAAAAGGATCTGAGGTGGTTCATAAAAATACATATGGTACAAGATAAAAACAAGTAAGTTTATTAGGTCAAGGAAATGAATCTATAAACATAATGAACAAATATAGTTAGAAACAATAGCAACAGCACATCA